ACAGGACACATGCCTCCAGGTAACTATCCTGTCCAACATGTTGACACTGCTGAGTCTGAGAAAGCTTAGTAAGCAACCAAATTCTTCCTCGACATGTATGCATACAGAAACTTCAATGCCCCATTTTCATGAAATCAACATTTCAAGTCTGTAAAAATAGCTTTAAAGCATGAGAGGATTGTTGCTGTGATCTGAATGTTTATGCTTTCCTGAAATTGTCACATTGAACTCTCAATGGCTAATGGGATAGAAAGTGAGAGTTTGGAAGTAATAGGAAGGCTCTTGCTTGGAATGAACGATCCTGTGAAAGACATGAATGAGCTCCTCTGCCCCATTCCACCTTGGGAAGATACAACATAACAAGCCCTGCTTAGACTCTCCTGGTGCCATGGCTTGGGTTTCCCACCCTCCAGAACTGTGAGCAGAGTTTGTTTATAAATGGCCCAGTCTAATACATTCTTTTAATGCAGAAGTTAGGGACCAAAGCATGTCTGTATTTAATATGTATTTATATACTTTTAATTCATCTGAAAAACATAGGACTATTTCTAAAATTATGGGATTCCAGAAGCTTCAACTTCAATATTGTATACTAGTGAATAAACCCTGGAGTGGCACATATGCATGTTTGAGTAATACTTGGTGATAACAGTCTTGTTTCTTCTTGTTCAAGGGTTCTGAGGGTGGAAGAGGCTCGTTACAGGAAAGCAGGAAGGAAAACAAACCGAAGCTTTAGTAGATGTCTGTAAAGCAAAATAAAGCCACACCACAAGGCAGAGAACTACTTTCTTCATTTTATTTCAAAAGTACACAAGGTCACAAAACTAAGAGCAAGTTTCTGTTTTTAAACAAAATTGTTCTTACAAACTCTGAAATCTGCATCATTGGATATGTAAGCCAGAAATTTGGGAGACAAAATTCTGAAAATGACACTACCCATACTGTACTTTGCAAATGTGGGGTGTCAAATTAATATTCTTAGTACAACTGGATTTCTTGCCAAAATTCACAATTAGGGACAAGAATAGGTCAATCAGTGAATTGTGGTCCTCTTGTGTCATTAAACAAATGAGCAGAAACCACAGAGCTGGTTTTGGCAGACCTTTGGTGTCACCAACCCAGCTGATGATGTCTATATTCTAAACTACAAATTCAGACATATATTTTGTAAAGCTTGATCTTAGGCTCAAGGTCAAATTCCAGAAGGTAAATGGTTGACCTTCCAAAAGGAGAAATCACCACAATTCACAAATTTATGTATTATCATTATTCCCCATTTCTGTAATACTTTCAAATGGAGTCTTGCTCAAATATGTATTATGGTAGTGTCAAGGTAGGCAAACAAGAAATTCTATTGCAGAGCATGTTGCCTTTATTGCTGGAATATCCAGAGGCATTTGAATGATTAAAACTTGCCCAGAACATTTATACTACAAAACACAAGGATGTTATAAAGAAATATGTACATATATAATATATAATGTCACAAACCACTTAAAATTGTGCCAGCATTTTTCTACACACTACTCTGCAAGTGACACATTTAAAGCGTTCACCACATAAAATATGGACTTTTTCTGTTCACTGAAATAAGGCAACAGAGAGCACTCTAAACACAGTTGAAACAAAATTCAGAAAAAAAAAACCCGAAAACCTATGAACATTCACGTAGCTTCAAATTTACATGCTGTGTACACAGAGACAGTAATTATTTAATAAGTCATACATTAAGTAGCCAACTCCATGCAGTGAACTCTTTTTTAATCAAAGTTTACTTGCCTCTTCACTTAAATTCTAAATTCCCCAGGGCTCCACCTGAAATTCATTTCTTTAAAGAATTCAGACTCAAACCTCAGTCTGCCCACTCGAGACAAAACCCTGGGCCACTGAGTTCAATCCCCAAGTGTTAGGTCTCCTGGTGTAGCTCAGGCTTGCTTTGAACTGGCTACTGGCCTCAAATCCAGTATCTTCCTGCACCTCTAGAGTTCTGGGATCAAAGATATATACAATCACACCTACCAGAAATTAGGCATTTCCATAATCTACATGGATCTTCCCCCTAAACACATTCAGGCCGTGTTTCCATTCTAATAAATCCTTAGCAGGTAACTCAAATTTAGGGAAATGTTTCTCTATGTAACTTGTCAGGGAAATCAATACAAGACTTGTGAGCAGCAGGGAAGGCTTTCCAACAGGAAAATGTCAGATTATCAATGACAATACTCATAGGTTTCTGTGTAATATATGTAATCCAGTGTCCTTTCTCTCAGATTACCCCATGTAACATTAAAATATGGTTCTGAGTCTCTCAAGTATAAAGTGGGATCAAAGAGGTGTGCCCTGAAGACACAGTCCTGGCACTGACTTAAAATGCATTAATAAAGTTGTTAACTGTTGAACACCACAAGTATTAATTCTAAAACAAATACTTGTTCCCTGGATAAATTAAAATCAGCAGTGAGAACTGTTTGGGAAATGACTAGTACTTGTCTGAGCTTTGGGTAAAACTGAAACTTACAGTGAGAATAACTGCATACCAAAGCCAAAAATTTAACTACATCTCTAATTCTATGTCCTATAGGTCCTTTTCTTTTTCCAGTTTTTTTGGTTGTTTTTGTTATTTTGTTTTTTTAAAGAAGCTTGTCTTTCAATTATAGTTGCAGCAGATGTTAGCTGAAATACTCTACGTTTTGTTTGCCTTTAAATAAATTCAAAGTATAAGGAAAGGAAGATTACACACATCTACTTCTATAGTAATTTTTACCTAGCATAATCTTCATTATGTAAAAAGGATTAAAATTCACATTCTAATTTATTCTTGTATTATCTTATAAAAATGCCAAACGTGACAGTCAAACGTGGCTATGGTTATGTCAGAAACACATTAAAGAATACTGGGGGCATGACTGTTCTTTTTAAATCTTTATAAACAACGGTGTCACTTAAGTGACATCAAAAAGAGAGCAGAGGAGAAGAGGCAAGATTGAGACTCTAAGGGTAGAAAGAGTCACAGGGATGTGCTTTTGGAAATAGTACCTTCACCTCTAAGCACCACCCAGGTAGGTGCTAGCCAGCTCATAGGCACCAGAAAATCCTAGTAGAAATCAAATGACCCAAAAAGGCACAGATGAAAACATTAACACAAATATAAAAGGTAATTTTATATGAGGTTAGAACCTACTTTACAAAATGCTACCAAATATGTAAAACTGTACACTAATCCATTACATGGACATTCAGCTTAAATTCACCATTATAGAGTATACACAATACTCTGCCTAATTGTAAATGCATGCCAACATTAATTTATAAAAATGTAGCATTTACCAGCGCAGCACCTGAAGAGATTAACAGAAAACGATTCCCTGGGGAAAGGTTTTGAAGTTAATGAAATCTTTTATTACAGACCATATCTACTATAAAGAAACTGCTGGCTCATTATACTCTACACACACTCCCTCACAATCTTAAGGGAAATACAATAAATTCACTTTTTCCTACAAAAAGTATATTTAATACATTTGGCAGATAGGAGTATTCCCTTTACTCCTTTTTAAATTTCTTTTAAAAGTAAGTCACTTCACGAAACTAAGAATCAAATTTGATTTGTGAGAATTATAGAGGCAGGTTTGGCCACCGGACAGCAAGCACATTGCCCAAGTCTGGAATATAGGGCTGGTAGAAGACACTTAACTTGCCTCAAATATATTTGTTCACTGAGTCTTGGAGGAAAATAACCTCCAAGAACTGTACTCCAGATAGTAAGTCTGGATTACATGTTTCTACAACATAAAATGTGCAGTACAGTCGGCCACAAAACAAAAATACAAATTTAAAAATCAATAATTTGAGGATTCTCATCTATAACTGCCAGGTGATAAATTAACATTTTGTGTTGTTGTTGTCCTTCCTTACTTTCTTTTCTTAATTGCAAAAACATCACCTAAAATGGAAGGCCAGTGTTTAGCTGTGGACTGACAAATCCTATATCCTCATCTGTCTGGTCAGAGTTTTTCAGATGTCCACAGGCCTTGAGGCACTGGACATACCCCAGGGTTTCACCCACAGGCCCACAGGCACTGGACACCCACAAGCCCTGAGGCACCCCAGGGTTTCATCTCTGTGTGGAAAAGAAAATGCTTCACCGAATCTCAAATGGGCTCCTTTTGCACAGAACATAAAAGGTTACTGCTTCCTGTGGCCTCTGCAGTCTATCAGTGAAATACTTAAGAAACTGCTCTACAGCCAGTATAAGTGATACAGACTTGGAATCCCAGCATTCAAGAAGTTAAAGCAGAAGGATCATGATTCGAGGCCAGCCTAAGCTACATACTAAGACCCTATCTCAAAACACAAAAAGGAAGGAAATCATCTCATAAGGTTTATGAATGACTTAGAAATGAAACTACTCATTTCTAAAACACTGTAGTGTCTCCTACTCTTAGAGATATCCAAAATACACTTAGAATTCTCTGAGAGATTTATAAAAACAAATTCAAATGTCAAGTCATTTTTCCATGGATGTTTCTTAACTTTGAGGATACTGTTGTTCATAACTAGATAGACAGACATCCTAAAAATAATGGCAGAAACTACAAAGTACTATTTTCCGATGACTCGAGTATCATTTTGGTATGTCTCTAAATTCACAAATATCTTCACCTAGAACATCATATTCAAAGTGCCATATCTTTCTTAGGCATTATTATTCAGATGCCATTGAAATCAATTTGTTAAGAAAACTCATCTTCTCCAGGTGATCACTGCCATTACTATTAAGCCTTTACTGTTTCGCTATAATCAAAAAAATAAAAAAATAAGTCTGTGGAGTGTGTTCCTTATAGTTTCTTATTAACTTCTTTGTGTGTGTGTGTGTGTGTGTGTGTGTGTACTCATACATTTTGGGGGTGCTTTTAGCAAAATTTAAACTAGAATAAGTTTTGATATATAATGAGAAGAAACGAACCATGGAAAACAACAGAAAACAGAGATGCAGAATTCTATACTATAGACCCATCCTTGCTTTGCGCTGGAATCATCACAGGAACCGCTCCCATTCGACTTAGATTAGGGGCAGCTACCTTAGCCGGTGCCAGAGTAGGACTCTGAGGTGCTCGTTCAAAGTCTTCACTGGGGACTTGGTTATACTGAGTCTTGGAATACCCTTCCATGTTGGAAGGGGACATGGATCCCAGGGAGGAGTGGTTGCTGCCAATGTAGCTCCTGGCAGTGGACGTCCTACTCTTCGGAGGCGGCACATCTTCCCTGCAAAACAAAGCCCCCATCACATGCTAAAAACCTAGCTTTGAAAAACCTACAATTATGTAAGCTACACGTCATGGGTAGGTACAAGAATGCAAACATGGAGCAATGCAAGGCCTACCATCATTAATTGTGTACCTGTCCCAATTTATTATCTTGGTCAAAGCACAAAAAATCAGTTAATGAACTATGGGTTTTGTGCTAACACATATGGTTTTGTAACATCTAATGAGGAAGGAACCTCAAAGTTTCCTATACTAGCATCAATGATCATCTAGTTAGCCACATTAGAGTTAAAAAAGCACTGACACATATACATACATTTGTAGCCCCAAAGCAAGGAAAGAATTCCTTTTCACTGTGAAAGTTCTCTAAGACGTTAGAAACCACTTATTTCTGTTTTCATCAAGCACTGAGGGGGGATGTCTTTCTGTATGCTGTGAATATATGTTTCTCTTATTGGTTGATGAATAAAGCTGTTTTGGCCAATGGACAGGCAAGATTTAGCCAGGTGGGAAATCCAAACAGGGATAGAGAAAGGTAAGAGGTAGAGTCAAGGAGATGCCATGTAGCTATAGGGAAGGAAGGTAAGGGTCCCCAGGCATTCTCCAGTAAGACAAGGCCATATGAAGATACACAGATTAGTAGTTATGGGTTAATAATTAAGAGAGAGCTAGCCAGGAAGAAGCCTGAGCAATAGGCCAAACGGTTTATAATTTACATAAGCCTCCATGTGTTTATTTGGGACTAAAGGGCTGTGGGACTGGGTGGGACAGAAACTTCCGTCTATAATAAACATTGGGTGCGTATTAAAAAAAAAAAAAAAAAAAAAAAAAAAAAAAAGTGCTCCAATCTCCAACCTCCAGACCCAACAGCAATTTCCAGGTTGTTAATCTATTTAAGTCACATGTTATTTTTTAAAAGTAAAATCCTAGTTAAAACCTACCAGTTTAGAATATTTAAGAAAATAAGCCAGGTGTGGTAGTGTGCACCTGCGATTCCACCATTAGGGAGAATAGAGCATCAGGATTCTGAGTTCAAGTTCAGTTTGGACAACTTGGTAAGACTGTCTCAAGAAGAAAAAACAACTGTATCACCCGTTCCACAAGCCATCCGTGTCACTAATGGCAATCAAGTCTTTTCATATGAAAAGTCAGGTGTTCTTGAGACAACCATTTTGGGTAATTCTCAAAATAGGATAAGGAAATCTGAAAGGTGGTGGGACGGATACACTTGAACATGAATGCCTGGGAAGACCGAAGTTTGCACCCAGTTTTCATAGTACTGTTTGTTTGAATGCTTCCGGAACCGACATTTACAAACGTAATCATTTGTTACGTATCTGTCAAATCTATTTTCACTTAATTACCTGATATCATGATGAACTTCCTTCTCATACTTCTCTTCTCTGCGTTTTCTGTGACAGCAAAAGAGGATGGCACCAATGAACACGAGAGCAAGCAGCGTTCCTATGATAGCTCCCGCAATTGTTCCAGCTCGGTTTGAAGCTAGAATAAGATTTCAACAGAATTAGGAAGAAGAAGAAAACGCACAGCACTGGGCTTACTACTGAAAGTATGGCATATATAGACAGATTCAGTTCATTGCATATATTAACCCTTAAAAGACTGATCAGCAAGGCTTTTGTCTAGCAAGAAAAATGTGTTAAGAATACTTTTTTGAATGTTATATCACCAAATTTAATTTGTAATTTGAGTCAAAGCTATCTTGATTGCCACATGAAAGTGTCTAAGCTTCTTGTACTTTAATGGCTAAATAGTGTACCAAAGCTGACTTGATAACTTTTAGTTACTAAAATAACGGTCTTATTGATAGAGTGTCGTGTCTTTTCTTCTGCATGAACTACAAGAGGCAGTAAATACCCACAGTGTTTTAACCAAAGTGAACATCCTTGCCTTCAATATACCCTCGCTGACTAAAGTAAATGAGGCTATGATATTCTAGCAGAAGCAAAGCAGATGAAAGAAGCCACTTACGAGGGACAACGTCCAGACGCAGCATACACTGATCGGAGCCCACTCTATTTTGGACCGTGCAACTGTAAGTTCCAGAATACTCAGAACTGGCATTTTTCACAGATATAACAGGTGACGTCATTTCTACGGAAGAAGAGAGGGGAAAAGCAAATTTGGTTTTGCAGGATGTAATGATTACTCTCCGTTTTTTAATAATGCTAATAAACTTTACGAAGTTTGACAACAGTCAGAGACAGACAGGGCTGGGTGCAAACACACTGCCGGAGCCAGATGCACATTCTGGATTTATGCAGTCAGCCTGCAGGCTCTACAAGTGAGCTTACAGTTACCACAATCCCTCAGCCACAGCCTCAGCTAAAACAAGGTGGTTGGCCCACTGTAGAGCAGCTATAGTATCATATGCGTAATTACATTTGGCTAATTTGTAACTTTTAAGCTCCTGTCACTTCATATAGGTTGTTTCGTTTACACTTGCATGGGTAAATTACTGTAATAATGGTAAGAATCCAGGCAGAATAACCATGACTCCACTCTGATACTTTTGCCACTAATTTGTGACTTTGAACACTTCTCAGCATTAAAAAGATCTGCCAAAGCAACTAATTACAATATCCTAAAGGTAAAATCTTTTTAGAAATATTTCTAGATGTTTCTAAATGTTTTAGAAACATTTCTAAAATGTAACATACACATGCGAACACTCCTAGATTTAAATCGCTATCAGTGGCCCCCAGGTACCATTCTATATCAGGGGCAGTACCTGCCAACCACGGAGTAGGCATCTTCTGGGAGTCTGACAATTTCTGCCATTCATAGCGCAACGGAAGTGAACCTTCTTTTGGTTCACATTTTAGCTTGAAGTCATTTCCAATCTCTTCAGCTCCATCCACGAAACATCGAGTACCTGAAGGCTTCACTGAAGAAAAAGGAAACGAGTTATCACTTTACCTAAGATGATGGGATTTGTTTTTCTAATGGATTGCTTGAGAACAAAGTATGATGCATAGCCACTGGCTCCTTTATCAGCCTCTGCTGGGCTAGCAATGCACAGGGGCACAAAGAATGATATGCTGTCAACACCAGTTTACAAAGCTTTACCCAACATAAACAGGCAATGAGCTCAGGCAAGCAGCCGTTGCATAGTTTGGCGACATCTCAAATGCAGCTCAGCTCTGCGCACGGCCATTCCATTCCATAGGCACATGTCAAAAAAGCAGGGTGATGAGGCTGGGTGATGCGGCTCCCAGAAACTACCCTCCATTCCTTACCTAGTCTCTGTCCTTGAAATGCAGCCATCTGGGAGCACGTGCCAAGTCATGGCTCTCTAGGTGCCGTTACTGGACAGTCAGGGCACTTATTAATAACGATGATAACTGGGACAATCCATTTTAATGCAGCACAGACCCTTTAACATTAGGTATTTACATGAATTCAAATCCATTCTGACAGCAGGGTCATAAAAAGTAAATTGGAGGTTATCTTTCAGACCTCTGAGCAGTGGTGTAGAGTAAAAACTAATCTTGTTACCTGCACCGTACCCCAACTCTGGCTAAATAACTTGGCATTACATCATTCTGCATCTCCTTGAAGCATGGCATTTAAGTCAAATTAATATCTTAGTCAAATGGGTTTAACAAATGTATTTATATAGTCTTTGTTTAGTAGTCTACGTAACTGGCCTCAAGACCATATAGGTATAAAAATATGAGGATTCTCAACTGTTTTACATAAAATGACATAGTTTTCCACTTAACCTACTCTTGTTTAAGACTTTCGATAACATATAGATTGCTCATAAATCTCATTAAATATAAATAATACTTAGTTGCTATAGTGATTATGACTGGAGAAAAATCACTAAAAGTCTGCACACTCCATGTACATAAATGTTTCCAAATACTTTTTGATCCATGGTCAGTTCAGTGTGAGGGTATGAAACCCAGGGATACAAAAGGCTGCTGTGCGCCCACTAAGCAGTAGTCATGGCAGCAGGTAGCCTTACTTTTAAATCTGGGCACCTGGCTGGCTGGCTGGTCAGATTTCTATCATATAGCGTAGATCTTTCCTCCTTCTAGAATCATGACTGAAATGAAGAGTGCTACGAACATTCTTGATCTTTGATTCCATTAAGTTGTTTAGAGTAGACCATGTTGTGTGTGTGTGAGAAGTCATCTTCGTTAAATGCTGATTCCTCTTCCACTGAGTCGAGCACAACGTGAGTGTGTGAGTGTGACTTCCCATTCGGCTACTGATGAACTTTACAGCCTGGGGACAGACAACTGTAAAGCCTGCTTGCACAAGCTCTCCCGGAGCAAGTGTGCAGTCTGCAAAATCAGAATGAACAGCCAGGAAGTATGGACTGCTACTACACAAGGGGCAAAAACCTGTAAAGGATTTGGGGATATTCTCAAAAAAGCAGACACCAGCTCTCGGGCAGCTATTTCCGAGGAGAGAGCAGAAGAGTGGGGGCTAAGCTGTCTGGAAGGAGGGCCCTTTAGCAGTCAGTATCCTAGTGAAAGCGGGTAGGGCATAGTCGCTCTGGGAGCAACGCCGGCCAAACAGTAAGTCATTATTTTCATTTTGCTCTAAGACCATGGGAAAAACAATGTTTGTTGCGAAGGCTGTGGTTGGCTTAACCATCTGCCTTCCCAGTCTGATAAGTGTCAGAGCTGTTGATTTTCCCCAATCTAAGTTGACTCTCATGCCTTCAGCTGTACATGAGTTTTCCTAGTCTCACCATTATGAATAAAAGTGAGTGCTGGAACACTCACACACACTAAATTTATTCCTGCTGCTACTACAAGTGAGCTTAGGCACATTGTCATTACTGCTGTTCTACCTACAGAAGGCATACCTGTCCACAGATACTCTGAGAATAGGAATGCAAATCCCACTGCCTCCCAAAGTACCTTTCCCCAAATTTTGATAGCCAGCTGTCAATCATACTGTGAAGAATATGAATACCAGTTCGAGATGCTTGACAATTTATCTGAACTCAGTACTTCCAGGATGGTGCTGGAAGAAGGTAGGTAAATGCAGAGTTAGCTAGCATCTGCATCAGGATCTGAGTAAGAGTTCAGACCTCTGGTCTGAAGACACTGTCAGCAGCTTATGCAATTGACAAACATAAAGAGTCCATGTTTACACGATATAAGCATAGCTAGCATTTCCAGTGATTGATCTTGGGCTTAATGATAATTAAGTCTTTATGTTTCAAAGTGACAATAGGCTGAAGTCAAAGGAAATGACAAGTTTTAATTCATTCTCAGGAAAATTTCTCTCTCTTTCTTTTTGAGATGGGGTTTCTCTGTTGATATAACAAAACACCTGAAGCTAAGGAAATTCGTCTTGTAATCCTGGAGGTCCAAGAACATCATGTCAGCTGTATCTGCTGGGTTTCCAGTGAGGACTTCGTGACCGAAGCAAAACTGGCATTTGAAGAGACAGAGCCCTGAAGCAGTCAAAGCAGCTAATCAAGTGTAACAACCTGCCTTCTCTGTAATTGATCTGGCATCACTGGAACTACATCAATCCCTTCAGAAGAATGGAGGCGCCTTGACCTAATTACCTAAAAGACCCCACCCACTTCCTAAGCCTCAATGAGTTTTGGTCACTACATACTCAAACCAAAGCACGGTTCTAGTTCCATTAACCTCCATTTACTTTCACAAGTAGGCAGCAGGCCTCTTTCTTTCTCCATTCAAAAAAAATATAGGGACTACGTCTATTTTATGCTGTCCAGGGACATCACTTTGTCATTAAACCGGCTTTGTCTTCCATGAATGCTGATGCCTCATGCTGCAGCCACTTTCCCTGTACACTTGTAGCCCCCATTGACACAAGGAATGGTAACTTACCCAGAACTGTCAGCAGAACTTTCCTATTTGCAACCCCAGGAGCCTTCTTCACTTTGCACTGATATGTGCCGATATCAGATAACTGCAGATTCGTGACATTTATAGACGCATCACCAGACGTGACGTCACTACTCGTGAAATGCACTCGTCCTTTCAGGTCCGGATAGTAGTTATCATAAATTTTGTCTCCAGAATACAGAATAATCTAAAACAAAAAGCAAAATAAAACAAGGAGATAACAACAACAACAACAAAACCTACTTCATTTCAATGACCATCCATACATCCCAGTAAGATCCCTTGTTCTTGTCCGGAGACTCAAGGGCAAAGAGTGGAACCAAACTCAAACAACAGGCCCTCTACACATGACTTTCTTATCTGAGCAGTATGGGAAAAGTAACACACAATAGCTTTTTCCCTCAATGTTAATGTAAAATGCAAAAGCAGAAAAATGTTGTAATCTGAAACACTGGCTATCTAATCATGCACAAGAATCAAATGGGACTGAATTGTGGCATCATGCTTGATTTCAAATGGAGACCAAAGTGGAGTAGGATTACATAATGTGCCCTGTACTGGCTGGAAAAACACAAACAAAAAAATCCCACCCACAAGCACAGCCATAATCTACACAAACTTCTTGTCTAAGATACTAATTATGTACTGGGCAACTGGAAAATGTCTCCCAAGGATATCTTTTTTCTGAGTTTTTTCTGTATTCGACTCTCGTGAGTCCTCAAAAACACTTTTGTATGTATGTTAACTGCCCATCACCAGGTCACACTCAAGACCAGTTTGCTAAGTAATCAGACAAAGCAGCTGAAGGCCTGACCACACTACCTTGCTCCTTAGCCTAGCCACACCCCCTCGTCAACGTCAACACCAGTCAACATTCATTCGTTCATAAACAAGACGCTCTGGCTTCCCCTCTATTAAACTTTTTACTCACATTGTTAAAGAGTGTAGGGTTAAAATAACTCTACTTCAAAAGCACAGCCATCCCATTTGTGTTTTAAGAAATACCAGACAGATAAGGTGTGTTCCCACTATGAGTGATGTTGTAAACCAACTTAGTGCTTTCCTATGACGACTGGTTGAAAAAAAATTGGACAACTAGCATTTATCAGGCAATTTTACATGTCTTCACTGATTTCTTGCTAAGTAGAAAGGATGGTGGAACTGTCCCCTTGTAATGTTTACACTAAGAAACTACTGGTCCTAACTAAGCTTTGGGCGGGACCTGTTTTCACTGGGCACAGTATGAGACTAATGTTTCTATATCCCTTCCAAGCTGACAAAATACTTCCGTATTTCTTCTAAGAGGTAGCTAGGACATACCTCCCTCGCCCCACCCCCATGAGACACACGAGGAGAAGGGTTTGTGGAACATGGGAGATGGGAAAGACAACACAAAGACTAACAAAAACACGGGTGTGAGAACTGCAGAAGACTGGGCTCAGTCAGATCCCAACTACTAGCCAGATGACTATGGGATCGTTCCTTCACAACTCTGCGCCTGTTTCCTCACTTTCGTAAGCATAACCGTGCAAATCCTATAGAGTCATTTTTAAATGAGTATACAGAGTCATGTGCTGCATACAGAGGTGTCTGTCAATCCCAGAGTGTGTGGAGACAATAGTGGGGCCATGGACCACTTCCCAACCATCTTATGTCTGTGCGGGTACATTCTATGACGTTCAAACGATTGTAAGATCTTACGTTATATTCTCACGAGATATTCTTCATGGCGAAACAAGCATGGCTGCATAACTAAAGCACCCCAACACTGGCCAGGATATGGGATAAGACTAGACATTTCTCTAGCCTGTCTTTCAACTCCTTAGGTACCACCTGCTAAGTTACCTCTAATCAAAAGGGAGTGCAGCTAACATATGATGTAGTTAGGATTCTATGGAAGGTTATAACCCTCTTCCGAGATCTCTCCTCACCTGCCATCTTCCTTGTCATCTGATCTTACCGTGCATTAAATCTGAGGCCAGGTTTTTAACCCAGAAATGGCCACTCCAGAACAAGTGACTCCTAAGCTTGTAAGTAAACACGTTAAAGGGTTTTTGTTGTCCCTCAGCCCTATCCCTTTTCATGTTCTAGGAAAAGGGCTCCAAGGAAAGGAACCAATCACTGAGGATGAGAACCTGAGTTCAACCCCAGGGGACCACATGGGGCCTCTAACCTCCACTGGCTCACCACTATGATGGCTCTCATATGTGTACAGCATACAATAAAACAACAAAAAGAGATTTAATTTTCTTCTTAACTAATTCATCATACAGGATATTTAACTTGAGGAAATGTGAAAAATAGGACCTAGCGAAAATATTGTACCTCTCTCTCTCTCTCTGTTTTTTTCAAGACAGGGTTTCTCTGTGTAGCTTTGAAGGTTGTCCTGGAACTTGTTCTGGAGACCAGGCTGGCCTCGAACTCACAGAGATCTGCCTGCCTCTGTCTCCTGAGTACTGGGATTAAAGGCATGCACCACCAACGCCCAGCACAATATATTATTATCTTCTATCTTCTTTAACAAAATCAATTTCCTCAAAGTCCCTAACACTGTTTATACTTCTGTCTTCCTGTTCCGGATACCCTCCATTCCCTGCTTGGCCCCTCATGGGCAAAGCCAGACTTGCAGAAGCCTCCCTTGGTCTTTAATTACCCTTTCACTTAGTTCACTCTTCACAAATTCACTATCTGCTGCGTGTGTCAACCTCGCTTCCACCACAACTGGGCAGCTGGGGGCTTCCTCCACCCCACTACAGCCATGGGAAGACAAGCCGGACATCCGCACTGATGTGTGCAGTGACCAGTACTGATCAAACTCACCACTTGATCCACCTTCTGGTTATCAGAAGGAGACAGCAGCCATTCGATGTCCAGTGGTCCCTGGTCTTCGGAACCAATTGTAAACTTGCATGGTAGGTAAGCAGTTTCCCCTTTAGCTTTTTCGATGCTCTGATCAGGAGTAGTGATACTCAAACCTCTGCTCACATCTGTGGAAAGAAACACAAAACTGGGACTAAGCTTCTGCTATTGTCCTGGCACATGACCCTGTGGCCATTCATGACAGCACAGTGACATGGGGTTTGGGTTCAGAGCAATAGAGTTCAGGGTCTGTGGTGCCATTGTAGTGAGTGTACTGATACTAAGATATCCATACAATTCCCTTTAGGATCACTGTGAACTTCCCGGAGGCGAATAAAATGAGTTTGTGCTGCTTGTGGCCTGAATGAAGCCTTGAACTCATAACGCTGTTTCAGCAGACCAAGTATTGTGATTATAAAGGTGCACCACCAAACCGGCTACAAAACTAGTTTTGCTGGAGCTGAAGATGTAGCTCGGCTGCCTAGCACATACGCATGCTGGATTCTCAAGAAGGTGAATAGTTGTTTGTTTGTTTATTTAGGGATGTCACTGAACATGTGAAGGTGAATGGCTGTTTGTTTATTTAGGGATGTCACTGAACATGTGAAGGTGAATGGCTGTTTGTTTATTTAGGGATGTCACTGAACATGTGAAGGTGAATGGCTGTTTGTTTATTTAGGGATGTCACTGAACATGTGAAGGTGAATGGCTGTTTGTTTGTTTATTTAGGGATGTCTCTGAACCTGTGGTGTACATCTTTAATTACAACACACGGGAGGTGGGAGCAGGAGGGTCAAAAGTTAAGTAGGCCAGTCCGAGATACATGGCAAGACCCTGGCTCAGAAACAGAAGGAAAAACTGCCATCAAATGAAACACAGCATTAGGGAAACAGGAGCACTGAGAGTTTCAGCACTCACCCCCAAATGCACAGCAAGACCCTTTCTCAGAACAGGCAGAGAGAATACAACATCACCATGGTAGAGTTCTTACCCAGCATTTTACAAGGCTCTGTAGATTCATTACCCAGCACCAAAAAAAAAAAAAAAAAAAAAAAAAAAAAAAAAAAAAAGAAAGAAGGAAGAAGAGGAGGAAGAGGAAGGACAGAGGGAGGGAGGGAGGGAGAATGGTGGTGGTCCATGCCTTTAATTCCAGCACTTGGGAGGCAGAGGCAGGTAGATCTCTGTGAGTTTGAGGCCAGCCTGGTCTCCAGAACAGCCAGAACTGATACACAGAGAAACCCTGTCTCAAACAAACAAAACAAGTAAATAAATGAGAAGCTAATTTTGGTGTTCAAATCAAGATGTAAGGTATGAATAGTCTGGTCATTAGCTGGATTTATAATATTCAATTATAAATGAATCATCCGATAAAAGTCTTTTAAAATCCATTACAACACAAAAGTTTCCACAGAATTAGCCAATCTACCAGTTTCTCTGTGACCACCTTTTGTTTTCTTTTGTTATTACAAAACAGGGTCTCACTCCTTGAGCCAACCTGGCTTGGAACTCACTTTTAACTCTAGACAATCCTCTTTATCTCAGTGTCCCAAGTGCTAGTTGTTAGTATTCAAGCAGTTATACTGGCCTGCCTGTCTTTGGAGTTCGGACAAGATATGCCCTCAGCTGTTGCCACTAAGGCACCATCTGTGCCTGTTCACTATGTTCCCTTTTAAAAGGGCCCAGCCCACCTACCCTCTCCCTCTCCCTCCCCCTCCCCCTCCTCATCTCATTTTACAGGCATGAGCCTCCATGACCAACTCTAATGGATTTCCTGACCACTGACTCAAACATCTCACTGTAAGTTTCACCATCGTGGCCTAAGAAGCAGCCTTACCACTTGAACCCCTGCACTTCTTGACACAGATGTTCAGAATTTGGATGAGATTATGAATGGTACCCAGGGCCTACCTCTCCCCACCCCCCATCCCATCCTTTCTGTTCACCCTCTCCCCTCCCATCATCTTGCACCTGTCATTAAGGCATTGAGCAAAATTAGGAGTCAATCAATTCCAAGCACTCCCTCTGTACAGTGACTATTCAATGGTGTTTCTCTAATGGTATATGGCATTATCCTTTCTATTAGGTGAGTTAATCCTAATACGATCTCAGAAATAATGCTGGTAAAGTTGAAGCCCAAAGAATAGGAACTACAAGTTGCCATCCTAAGCCTTTAACAGCATCTGAGGCCATTCCTCTCAAACTGAATAAACGGGTGCAAATCCTCCGCATTCCTCTCTTAAATCAGACCAGTGAAAAGTGACAAGAATGTGCTGGGTAGAACCCAGGGCGAGGCCTCCGGATTCCTTATTAAATCCCTTCTCGCCTTCTTAAGAGCTCTTACCATTCATTGTACAAACAATCCATGGGGAATAACTTAAGTGTGAGCAGCCACACCACCCACAACGCCTGTCTAGACCAGCTTCTGCAGGGCCCTGAGTGAGCCCAGGGCTTCCTTTCCTGTCCTAGCCTACCAGTGCCTGAGGGATCATGGAAACAGATATCTGTGTTAAGTCTCTAAAGTTGGGGATTGGTTTTTCACATAGCAAAGGTTGGTGATCCAGCATCTAAACCTACTGCCTGAGACCAGGCAATGGCTTATCATTGTCCTGAAAGTGTGCTGGCCTTCATTGTGTTTCATGCCTACATATTTATTTTATTAAAACATGGTTTGGGGAGCCGGAGAGATGGCTCAGTGGTTAAGAACACTGGTTGGCGGCTCTTCCAGAGGACCCAGGTTCAATACCCAGCACCCACATGGCAGCTCCCACCTGTCTGTTACTCCAGTTCCATAGGATCTGGCATCCTCATGAAGACATACATGCAGGTAAAACACCAATGTACATAAAATAAAAATAAATTATAAAAAAATAAAACAAAACATGGTCTGACACTGGGGTGTGGCATCTCTAGACTTCCTACTGAAAAGACATTGGAACCTTGGGATCCTTTTTCCATGTCTAATAAATTCAGTCCTGTGTCTACCTCACTTTCAAAACCACATTTATTCTACCACGTCTCCACCCCCACCCCCCGGTGAGTTGTCTGCTCTTCCTTCCAGGCACACTCACGGTGGCACCTCACCTCTTTCCATTAGTACACACCCTGCCTCGGATGTCTGTTTTCCTTTAGCAATCTACGCTAAGGCTGACTCAGCATCCACATTCCATCCCTCTTCCTCAATGCTCATGTGTTTTTCTTGCCAATGTTACCCTGTACAGGACCTTTTAAGGTGGAATTCCCAATCTCCCGTTACATGATTCGCGTCCCAAGGAGTAGGGAACTTGTAAGTACCTTTGTCTCTTTAAATAGCACCTAATAAATTTGCTGAAGATAATTTGAGATCGAATCGTATTCAGATCAATTTTAGAAATGTCAGAGAAATAGGAAAATCTGCCAGAAGGAATTCCTCCATTCCAAGTGGTCTGTCTTGGTCCTCCCTTTGTTGGCGGACAACGTGCTTAGGTTATCTGCAGAAACTACCTCATTTTATATGTGCACTGAGTATCTGCAAGTGGGCCCCTCAGATACCAAGAGATGCTATTCTGCCTAAGATATTTTAAGCAGTCTCATAAATGACTTTCAGTATTTCTTTTTTTGAAATGTGTTTGCTCCTCACTGTGTTGTGCTAAAAATGAACTGAAATCTCAAGATCCTCACAAAAGAGTTCTTGAGTTTCCTAGCAACACCGAGAGCTCTCTCTCTGAAGAGGTATCCTTTTTTCTCCCCAAGGGCTGAAGTATGCAAGTCATAACTGTATAAAACAAAAGACAGACACTCTTGGACTCATTTAGTGACTCTGTCAACTGGTTACACCTCAGAAGGCTAAGTGATAAATTAACTGGCAAATTACTCCAGGTTCAAACAGAGTTTGAAAACTAAATCAAATATCAAACTTTATCATTTTATTTAAAGGGATTTTCAGGGTTTAATGAAAAAAATCCAGGCCACAAGTCCTTGCAGAGGCCAGTTATGAGTGCTCAGAACTGAGTATATAAATAAATAGAGTGACGCCCATCCTACATAGACACCAATTGGAATAACATCTTCCAGCCTTCTGCTTGCTTTTCTTAGCTCCAATTTCTAAGCCCTTGGGTCTCTGAAGACTCTGCTGCCCAGTCTCACTGAACATCAAAGTCATGTGATGTCTTCAAAGAGTATTTTTCAGGCCTTGATGTCACCTCCTACTAAGCCCTTAGGAAATCAGATTCTACCAAGAACTGGAAGGAGCTGTTGCTCCAAGGGGAGGCAGCACTCTGACTGGGTGGCATGCACTGTCCCAGGACACAGTAAACTGTCAATGGGGGTGATCTTCACTGAGTTTTGCCTTCCAACCATGCAAAGGTACAAAATGCTGGGGAAATTAACGTTTTTTTTTTTCTTTTTGTGTTTTTAAGAGAAGTAAAGATGAGAGTTTCAAATTATCTTGAGCAAGGAAACACTTAGAGAAAAGTGGGGTTTGTTTTCTTAAGAAAAGGGGAGGGGAGCTATGATGGGGGAAAAAAAGTATTTGCTATAAACATTTGGAGTTGGAAATCATCATTTTGCAAAACCACACAAGTAAGAGCTTCAAACTAGATGATTACGATGAGAAACAGAATGTCTTATGGGGTGTCACAAAATCTCAGCTAACATGAATTGCAGAGGGAGAAAAATGGCTTTACAATAGAATATTCTTGTAATGCACCGCCTTAATCAAATGACCAAATTCACTTTCCCTAGACTGGCATGGAAAGCTTGTGTCTCCTGATTCAAATACAGCTATGCTTGGTATAATGTATACTGAGTTAAAAAATGCATAAGCTAACCCTGAGGACAGAAAAACCTTAAAAGTACATGCAAGGCCTGGCAAGGGGGTCCTCACCTTGAATCCCATTATTTTGGGGGCAAACTGTGAGTTTGAGGCCAGCCTGGTCTACACAGAAGTTTCAGGCCACCAAGGCTACATAGTGAGACTTCACCTCGCAAACCAAAACAAAATAAAAAGTATATTTAGATAAGAAGTCAATAAAAAGGTGATGCTGTTTGATTACAACCATATGGCTCTCTACAAAAGGAACAATTTAACCCAGTAAAAAAAAAAAAAAAAGGTGATTAGAGAGGGAGGGAGGGGGGAGCGGCAGGGGTTTCTTAGAGCTGCCAAGCTCTCCCTCTGCCTGATGCTGCAATGGTAGACACACGTCGCTGTGAATTTGTCCATATCTGTATGATAGACAGAGCCGTAGATATGGGGTAATAATAGAAATAGGTCACAGGTTCATCAAGTCTGACATAGGCAGGCAGGAGGTGGTAGCACACACCCTTAATCTCCAGCAGAGGCAGGTGGACCTCTGTGAGTTTGCCACCAGCTTGGTCTACAAAGTTGAGTTCCAATACTGTCGGGGTTGTTACAGAAAAACTCAGTTGGGGGGGGGGGAGCTTGGGGGAGAGGGTGGGGAATCTAACATATGCATCCCTCAGGCAGGGAATGGTGAAAACATCGAAGACCAAGGCTGTGTA